CCTTAAATGTCCCTAGCAGCACCCTAACAACACATTAGTAGGACGGACTTTATTGTCTTTTCATCCATAAAATAAGCCTGCTCAATTCTTCTTCTCTTTTTCTTTTCTTCTCACGTCAATGGTGATACCACAATTAGAAAAATAAATACTAAACTGATAAAATGGCTGTAATCTAAAGACAAAAGATAAACTAAAATATTATTTAGATAAATAGTTCTAAATCTCTCCTTGAATATTCCCTTTCAGTTCTTTTTTAGAAGGAGCTTCAGTAATAAAATTAATATAGAAGGGAGAGCAGGGAGGAGGAGAGTTGTTGAAGGGAGAGACGGTGGGGAGAGAGGGACGAGGATAAGGGTTCTGATGGCTTTTAAGTTTTGTTAAAAAGGCCAAAAAAAAAAACCTCTAATTAATGTATGTCAAATAAACTGTTAGAACATTTAAAGAAAATGAAAAATGTATACAATCATGTTGTAAGTTAGCAAGTTAGCAAAATCCATATATATATATATATTTATCACAAATAATATATATTCTTATGATTATTTTTAACCATTAAGATTTAATTTGATGTAAATACAGGGGCAGTACCTAAGGAGTAAGGTAAGTCGTAATATTGTGCCTCTGACACGACCTGTCGGAAAGTAACGGCCAAATATCGTCAATTAGGAACACTCGAGGGGATATCACGTCCCCCTCTCTGCCCTAAAGTATATCACAAAATTGGTGGGACATTACGGCGTGACATGCTCATATGCATTGCTTTGTTTGTTTCTGCAAAAAATTGCTTTATAGGGTCTAATATATTCCCTAAAATGACAAAACCACTCCTCCTACTTTTGGATTCCCCTTCAAATGTTCCTATATATTGATCTTTTTTTCTCTCTTTTCTTTTTAGGAAAATTTCACATTAGAACAATTGTGTTCCATACTTTTAATTTTATAACCCATATTTCAATTTACAACCAACTTGCCCAAAAATAATAGGCTAAGATTCAACATCCAACTCCAATAGGTTCTCAAAATTACTATTATACAAGATTATACATAATTATACAAAAAAACTGACTTCGTTTTCTTCCTTGCGTCTTTTCTGGAATTTAATTCAAATCTTGCTCAAATTTATTTCAAATCACTTCAAATTTAAATTTTGAACTCCTTTTGATATTTTCAATCAATTGGAACAATACCCAATCCAAACAACTAACAGATTCAAAAAAATCCATTTTCAAAAGCAAAGCTTTGAATGATCTTCAATGGTGAACTTCTACTCTTTAATTTTCTTACACTGCAAGCATACTACACAAGAGGAGAAGCAGAAAATACACAGCTGCTTGAAGCATATGTAGAAGATGTGAGAAGAAGAGAGAGTAAAAGCAATGGTTGTGAGAACAAAGAATTAACTTCATAGCTTTTAGAAGCAATGGTTGTAAGAACACAAATTTTGAATTTGCAAGTACTTTCAAAATATGTATAATGTAGGCTAAGTGGGGTAAAACTTAAAAATATGGGTCATTTTTTGTTATGGTGTGAAGTCATATATATTTTCTCGTAATTCTTTCTTTTTTTTCCTCATCTAAAAGTTTACTTTTGTACTAATACAAATTAGTATAAAATATTATTGAACTCATTCACATTTATAATACTCCTAGTAAGTAAATTTAAGTATGAGAAGAATAATGTTTTAAAGGGCCTTTGCAGAACGAGGAGTACCAAAAACGCCCCGAGGCGATGGTGTAGGGTGAAAGTCACAAGAGGCGTACGCCCGGGCGTTTGAGATACGTTTTTTTAGTGATGCGTATACCCTAGAGACTTTTTCAAATTAAAACAAATTTGTTGAATAAGTCATTCATATAATACCCAAATTCTCAAAAGTCAGTTTGGTTATTACTTAAAGATTTTAAAAAGGAACTGAAATGTATTAAATTTAAAAGTCAAGACCCTCTTTATTGATTGAAACCCTAATTCATGGTCCCAATTTTTTATCTTGTCCGCTAGTCTACTAATATCTCCCAAAATCAACGAATATTCAATTGTTTTTTACAAATATAAAGAGAACCATATTCTCCTTCATAGCAGCAAGTTCAAAGATCAAATTACATGTTAGTCATCCATTTGTCCTCTATGTAGAAAACTTTATTCTTCTCGACTCAAGTTAGTTGTACTTCTAAGTAACGTATAATAGATTGTTTTGACTAGTTTTTTGTGGGGATGGAGTGCGCGCGCGCGCGCGCGCACACACACACACACACACACACACACACACANATAATTATATATTTTATAAAATATTAAAAATTAAATATGTATGGGGCTTACGCTCCATGCCTCGAGACTTACGCCTAGGGGTGTCAATGGATCGATTCGGCCGGCTATTTTATAAAATTTATACCCATACCAATTTTTCGGTTATTCTATTATGTATAACCAAAATTTGACTTTTCGAAATCGTCCAAATCATGTCGGTTTTTCTTCGATATCGGTACAGTTCGGTAAATTTTCGGCAATTTTTTAATATCATGTAAAAGTCACTAGTAGAAGTAGAATGCAAAAATATACATATTTTTTTAGGACTTAGCAAAACTCTCTAAATGTTTTTACAGTTTAAACGGTGATGAATTAAGAAAATATGAAAGATGACTAGAGTATAGATCAATCAACTATTCTACATCAGCATAAAAGAAACTAAGCAAATACAAAAACAACATAAATCACACGAGTGAGAAAATATTAACTAATTGGGATTCAAGAAGATATTAACTAAGATTAAATATTCAAGAAGATAAATCAAAATCATACGAAAGGAAACGTGTTCAATACATTATAGATTGCTACTCATACTCGCTACAATACCTTGTGTCTTGCTAGTGAACATGCTAAAAATAATTTAGTTTCAATAGGAGTATCAAAAAAGGTTTGGAGAATTTTAAATTTAATTACGTGTTGGCTTGTAACTGTTTTAAAATTCAAAGACCCTAGAAAAATTTAATGCTTTATTATTTTCAAACTTAATATATAAATATATTATTCACATTGTAAATTTATTCGGTACGACCCGGTATTTTTTCGGTTTATTTTTACAAAATAAAAAACTTATCCTAATTATCGGTACAGTTATAAATTTATATAAATTACGATTTTATTAAAAGAAACCTAAAATTCGATTCGGTACGGTACGATTCGATTGGTTTAATCAATTTTTAAATATCCATTGACACTCCTATTTATGCCTCTTTGATACATATGTAAAACGCATCTCCTTGCGCCCGCGCCTTTTAAAATACAGTTGCATTGAGCGATGAATTTGGGCATTCTCAAATAAGGTAAATTTTAAAGTGGATTGTTGAATTGACAGGAATGTTTGTCTATCCAATACAAATACCACTGAGTGCACTGGTCCACAGTGAAGTAGTATACCTATCTTTTGTACTGGGAATTGGTAAAAAAAAATAATAAAATAAAACCCGAGAACGTACTGAGAATGTATAAACATGAAGCCTTTTGTCTCCCAAATCAGAGTTTTGAGAAGTGTTATGGGCACTGTGACTGCATTTAGGCAGACATGGATTTATAGGGAACAGTAATGCCTCACCTTCACCAAGATTTTGACACAATCTATGCCTTTCTCTTTTTCCTTTTCTAGTTCCTTAATCCTCAATTCCTATGAACCTATTCCCCAAAAATATACTACTGGTATATCTTCTGTATACAACATTCTAATTTTATATTTGGTTAATATACAATATAAAAATTAGGCACATAGTACTCTGTCATGGACAATGAGACTGATTGTTGAAGGAACATATTTAATAGTCAAGGGCTTGGATAAAAAATATCCTAAACTGGAAGGAATGGATAAGTAATTTATTGGTCATTGGTGGAAGGCAACTAGACACAAGGACATGCAGTGTAATTACATAGTCCAAAAATGAAAGCAGATAAAAAAAAAATTGGTGTTGTTTCTTTTAAGTGAAGCAATAAAGAAGGAGAGAGAGGAGAAAAAAAAGGTGTGATCTAGAGAAAACAGAAAAAAAAGCTGTAAGGTGTCACTTTCAGTATAGAAAAAGAAGTTCAGTGGTCAATTTGAGCTAAATAACCAAATGGTTGTAACTTGTAACTAATTAGTTACTCTATAAAAACTAAAGGGAAAAGTCTCGGGACAACAATACCAAGTGGGACACCAAAGACTTAGGAGATAAAAAAAGACAATTCGGTGTACTAAGTTTTATGAAAACTTATGAGAAGGCCGGACTACAATGATCAATTATATGCGATCCTACTTATAAAAAGTTATTTTTATGATATGAACCGCAATCTCCCAGTTACACGACAACAACTTATACATTTCCTCTCCAAAGATATAGGAGAAATGAAAAGAATTTTAGGGGTTAAAAATTGAACTAAGCTAGTTGTGGCCGAATGGCAAAAGGTAAAAGAGTTTTTGGATCGGTGATATCTGCTTTTTGGGCAGTACAAAAAAGTAAAAATAGCACAAGGGTAGCAGCAGAAGTTGCAGTACAGTAGGGAGAGAGAAGTGATGATGAGATTACAAAGACCTTTAATCTTTGTTACTGCCAAACACTGCAACCCATAGCAGTGGCATCAAAGGGGCTGTAATAAGGGGATCCTCCGCTCCTCTTAATTACTCTGCTATTGCCCTTCTTCTCTATCTATCACCCTTTCCTTAGGAGTAGTAGCAGCAATTTTAGTACTAACAAAATCACCACTTCTCTTTATTTTGGCCTGTGCATATAGTATTACAGAAATATACATAAGAGAGTTGCAGTCAAACATAGAAAGCTGTGAGAAAAATGGGTTAGGCTAATGTAGTGATGACATAAATATAGGGCCCTTATTGTTATTTGTTGATGGAATTAGGAAAGTTGGATGGCAGAGCCTTTTGGGAGCAGAAGCAGAAGCAGAAGTATCAGATTTCAGAGTGGTGCCAGATACAGAACATCAAAGAAGACGAGAGTTGTGAGGAAACAACGCAGTAAATTAAAGTATAATCAATCAAAAGCTGGAACAAGAAAAGCACAACAAGGGTCTGAGTCTGGATCCTCAAAGGAATCACCATTATCATCCCAACCAAAACCAAAACCAAGATTCATCTTTAAGACATGGAGTAGAAGAGGGAAAACTAGAAGAAGAAAGCCAAGACCCTTTAGAAAAAGAACCCCAATTTTACCTCTATCCTCAACAACAAGCATTTTTCCCACACCATCATCAGCTGCTGCCACCACAACCCCAGCCTCCCAAGAAACGTTCATACTTCCCTTCATTGGAGCAAAACGTCGAACATGCAACAGTGGGAGAAAAAATGGGAGACAGTCAACACCAAAATCACCGAACCACATCAAGATTGGGCTTAAGGAGCACTGTAGGCGAGATAGTAGAAGTTCAAGGTGGTCACATTGTAAGGTCTACAGGGCGCAAAGACCGCCACAGCAAGGTTTGCACAGCCAAAGGCCCAAGGGACCGCCGTGTACGCCTCTCTGCTCATACTGCTATTCAGTTCTACGATGTCCAAGACCGCCTTGGCTATGACCGTCCTAGTAAAGCTGTGGATTGGCTCATCAAAAAGGCTAAACCCGCCATTGATGAACTAGCTGAGTTACCCGCCTGGAAACCCACACTTGGTTCTGTTTCTGTATCTGCATCTGCTGCAAACACTAGTAATCTTGAACAAGACCAATCTCAAGATGAGAACTTTACATTCCACCAAGAAAATGCTACTACTAGTTTGTTTGATAATGCTGCTGGCCCTTCTAATAAAAGGGCAATGGCAACTCTGCGGAATGAAACCAATACTAGTGGTAGCTTTCTGCCTCCATCTTTAGAATCTGATGCTATTGCTGATACTATTAAGTCCTTTTTCCCAATGGGTTCTTCTACAGCAACAAACTCTTCACCTATGCAGTTTCAGAGCTTCCACCAAGAGACTAACAATATGTTGTCAAGAACCAGTAGCCAGAACCAAGATTTGAGGCTCTCTTTACAATTTCAAGATCCTATTTTGCTGCACCACCAAAACCAGCAAGCTCAACACCAGCACCAACACCAACACCAAACCAACAATCACAGGGAAGAGCTTCAAGCACAAGTAGGCCACTTTACCCCACTTGGGTTTGACAGCTCAGCCTGCTGGTCGTCTATGCATCAGCAGCAGCAACCAGTTGGGAGGGTGCAAAGACTTGCTTCTTGGAATGATAATAGAGACACTACTGCCCAAGGTGGTGGGTACTTGTTCAATTCACAACCAGGGCAGCCGCCGCTGCTGCAGCAGCTATTTGGCGGCCAAAATCAGTTTTATACACAGAGGGGACCCCTTCAGTCCAGTAACACACCTTCGGTTCGAGCATGGATTGACCCAACATCATCCGCCATTGCAATTGCCTCAGCTGATCAAGCAGTATTACCCATGTATCATCATCCATCCACAATTCCTCCTGGTTATGGATTTGCCTCTGAAATAGGCGGATTCTCTGGGTTTCGTATTCCTGCTCGAATCCAAGGTGAAGAAGAGGAGCACGATGGTATATCCGATAAGCCATCCTCTGCTTCCTCTGATTCTCGCCATTGAGTTTGGCTCCAGCAAAATTCTTTCTTTATCCACTGACAGGTAATCACTTCACCAGTTGGTCAACTCTTAAATCTTGTTTGTGATTCCATTTCATTCTTGAAATGTTGTTCACTGTTGCATTGAGCTCAATTTGCAGGAATTTTCTCCACTTGAATGAAATTGGAAACATACAGAAGTCATGCTGTAAGAGAGCCTGGAGCTGAGAGAGTTCATTATCGAGTCTGATTCAATGGCAAATGCACCGTGTCGAAATGAATCCTGATCATATTTTCAGGTGGTTCTTCGATTTGGTCTAATATTATTAGTTATTAAAATGTTCTTGCTTTCCGTTGTTGTGTAATAGAGCTTTTCAAGCTCAACTGCTACTCTAGGAGTGATATGTGTTTAAACTTTTCATGTTGCTGCTGTTTGCTTTTATTTCATGAATTAAAGACTTTCAAGCTAGAATTGGTAATGTTCTATTAACTATTTTCAAGTCTTGGATTCCAATTGTAGAATTATTTGCTCTTAGTAATAAGGCATTCTTGAATGTGATTGAGTTCCTAGATAACCTGATTGCTGTGTACATTGATTTGGGTTGATATTGTTGCCTTTCCAATTTTAAAATGTGAATGGTAGGGAAAAAATGAGATTGTTTTCCCTGTTTACAGAAAAGGGTCAATTTTTCATATAGGTGAAAGAGATCTTTGTTTTGTTTGATAATTGCTTTACCACTTTCTGATAAAAACAGTTCATGTTTCAACCAACTTCTCAAACCCTCAAAAGGAATTGAAAGAAATACTTATATGGTCTTTTTAACATCCCTATCACTGCTAGGATTTTTGGGAGCATATTAAAAGTTGAGTCATTTTCTATGAACAGTTGAAGTAATTAAGGTGGGTTTGAGAGTGGTAATCTGAATGCTACCTTCAGCTTTAAACTTCCTTTTAGTGACTCCCATCACCTATATTAGCTGTCTTAGCTTTTATGGTATAGATCATGAGATTGCAAGACTAATAAGTCTTGAAATCTTCACCTACCTAATTTCCTAACATTGAAGGGTTTGGCAGCCATTTAAGTCTTTTTTTTTTTTTGTTGTGTGTGTGGGATCTTGTTCTTTTACCATCTAAAGGCAAGAGTTTCCTTGATTGGATTACTTTTTTGTGAAACCAAGTTACACTCTTGTTGAATGAAAGGAAATGAAAAGAGAAAGAAGTTGAATGTCAATTCTTTGCTGTCCATTAGAGTATATTCATGTTTATGGTAACAAAGGGTTGATCAGAGTCAATAGTCATAGCCCCATAGAGCCTAAGTCATAAGGGTAGTTTAGCACACACAAAGGAGAAGTTGCATAGGAATGTAAACTTGTCAAAGGACAGCTAGATGAATGTAGGAAGGTAGAAAAAGGTTGTGCTAGATGAATGTAGGAAGGTAGAACTAAGTTGGGCTAGTTTAGGCTTCATAAATATGAGAAATTGAACAGAACCAATCAATTGATACGTAAGATGAAGCAGAAACTGAATAATGGAAAGAACTAGACACATACAACAAAGGTGTAAATCTCAGTACACCTCTTAAAAGTCTCTGTCTAGTGGGATTTTCTCCCTTGTTTTATTATTATCTCCTTTTGGGGTTTACCGTTTACTCCATTGGGAAAATTTTAGTTAGACACATGATGGTTCTATCAAGACGTTGACAATTGCTTCATATTTGTTGTCACTTCTTTATAGTAATTGATTATACTATCAAGCGGGAGGATAAGTGGACTTTTATTTATGGATACTATGATAGTATTATGAGAAGGGAAGTCTTAGAGCAACAATCAAGTTGTCTCGTGTGACTTATAGGTATAGGTCACTGGTTCTGGTTGGAATCATCCATTGATGCTTGCATTAGGATAGGTTGCCTACATCATGGCCCTTCCCTGAACTCTACATGAATGCGGAATGCGTTGTGCACCGGAAATTACTATAGTTGGGGATTGTCTAGTGTTTTAGGAGTTTTCTTTAATGTGATTAGGAGTTAATAGTGTTTAAATAATGGCTTTTATGGTATCATGAGTTGGAGCTTGCTGTGTTTTTGTTTCTTTATTGAAAGTTTTGTATTCAGTGTTATAACTTCACTCATGTGGGATGACCGCCATTGCATTATAGGTTGAAGGAAATAAAAATGAAATCTTGTGACAGGACATGAATAACATTCTGCAAAGTTGCCATCACCTATATAATCATTGTCAACTTTTTCCTTTTCCCTCTGCATTTTCTACCTTCTATCATAATCGCCATCATATATAGTACTAGATTTAATGTCAGTATAGAGCAGTATCAGTATGCAAAAGTGTACTTGGTCCAAAATATATTAGTCCAGTAAGGACCTTTTTAAAATAAATCCACAAAAACTTGAAAAACCCTCCTTAATTTGAGATGTCATATCCTATGCTGGCTAGCCTTCTAAAAGAGATGGTCAGAGGCGGAGCTAGGGGTGTGCATTTGAATCAGTTTATCGATTTCGATATCGAAATTTTTCTTATCGAGTTATCGATTTCGATTTTGTCCTCTTCAGTTATCGGTTTATCGATAAACCGATAACTGAAGAGGACAAAATCGAAATCGATAACTCGATAAGAAAAATTTCGATATCGAAATTTTTCTTATCGAGTTATCGATTTCGATTTTGTCCTCTTCAGTTATCGGTTTATCGATAAACCGATAAGATATACTAAAAAGACAATTTTTTTGTTTTCCCTTTCCTTTATCCTATGTCCCTAACCCTGTTATTTCCTCTACCACATTTAAAGAATGTCATATTTAAAAATCAAGGGAATGAAGTTCAAATTAATGAAAAACAGAATTAGCCGTGATGATGTATTTTTTTTATACCGTTGGGAATGTTGGTGGCATACATTTAATTCCTTACTTTAGTTTTGTTGCATGTGCTTGTTGACACAATTTTTATGTTATAAACGATGTTCATCTTATTTTAGCTTCTTTTTGTCCATATTAGATAGGCGTGTTTATAATGATATATTTTTCGTGGAATCCCGCAAATTTTCTTATTTGTGTAATTGATAACCGAATCGATAAGCCCCCAAAATCGATTAATCGAAATCGAAAAAATCGAAACTTTATTGAAACGATAACAATTAGCATATGTATAAATCGATAATCGATAAGTAATTATTGATAAGGGTCAAAATCGAATGCACACCCCTAGGCGGAGCTAACGTTTTACGGGTTCGATCGAACCTAGTAACTTTGGTCCAAACTATATATTTAATTTAAAAAATTCATTGAATATGTATAAATTATTAATTTAGAACCCAGTAATTTAAACGGACTATAATCCCGAACCAATAAGCTTCAAATCCTGACTCCATCTTTGGAGACGGTATAATAGTATTTACCAAATAAGCTCTGAACGCAGCTTGAATTTGGTTGGCAGTAACATCCTCAATCAGCTTAGTTGAGTTTTTACAACGATCCATTCAATTCTTTGTTGCTAGGAAAGTTCCCCTTTGCTTCATCTAATACGCTGCCAGCCGACTGCCACAATCAAAGAGCTTTGAATTCACATCCTTTTTTCTTGTTTATCATTAAGAGTATTTATTAATTAAGAAAACTAAAAAGGTAAAGGGATCAACCTCTATAGTCAAGAATTGTCTTAAACGAAAATCTTGGAATAAATGTAATGGGCAATCCCTTTCTTTTCTTGAATTCTAAAAAATTCTCCGCCTGTTCTCACCTTGGCATCTATTTTAGAACAATCCTTTTTGAAGAACGACAAAGATTCCTTGTAAACTAAAGCTCAGGCACGCTCGATAGCAAGAAGCTAGTAACTTCTTTCGGGTCATTAACTAGAATTTGCATGAGGTATCACAGTGGGGACTGTCATCTGTCCGGTTCTTGGGTCCGATTGGGCCTCTTTGAAATTGCATTCTTTCCTCTCCATGCTTCAGTTGTCGAGTAAAATTTGATATAGTTTTAAAGTTTTAAGCTGGAGCCTCACATAACGGAATCAATGTTTTGTTTCCAAATCAGCTTCGAAGAATGACCGGGAATCTTTTTCCTAAAAAGAAGAGTTTTCGTTTGAAAAATATAGTTCTCAATTGGCTTGCGCCATCGTGTTGAATGACCAAAGTTTCTTGGATACTATTTCAAATTGCTCTATCACCTGTGCTACATATTTGAGAATGAATTGAAACTATGAAGTTATCGATTACATCCATAAAAGGGATTTGATTCGGGGAAGGGGTTGTTATAATTTAGTCCATGCAGTGCATTTTCTGCTTTGCTACAAGAAGACAAAATGATTCAAGAGGCTAGAACGACTTCGAATTCCAAGCATTAGATCTTCTATACTTTCTTGTTAACGATTTGAACTAGAACACTTAATTTCTTTGATGGCATATTCCAGGATATAAGCATTGGATGAACCACTAGAGAATATATTACCTAATCAGGCTACTCAACGTTCATGATTTCTAAATAGTGAAAATATTCATCAGAACATAATGTAGTGTGTCAAACCTGAGGAGAAGGAATAAGGGATCTTCTGATTCGTTTTAATTGATGTTAGCATCAAAATTGACAAGGAACTACGCAATTTTCCTTTCTCTTTTCTTTTGAAAAAATATGGTGGATGAATAGAAAACAGAAAAAAGAAAAAAGATTGAGAATGAGTTTATCTTTTTCACTAAAAACTTACATCAGATTAGGACTACAGACAAGTTAAAGGATTGAGAGTCCTGTTAAGATTTTTTTTCTGGAAAATTCAGCAGTGAATGTATAAAGAGGTTTCCTTATTTTGTGTTGATGTAGGTAATTGGTGTTCGATCAATTCCATGAAAATCATCTTTGCACCCTTATAGAAAATACACTCAAAAAGGTGGTCCCGGCGGGGCTCGAACCCGCGACCTTCGGCTCATAAGACCAACGCTCTAACCAACTGAGCTACGGGACCTTGGTTTTTCAGCTGAAGGAGTAAGATATATTTGTAAGTAATTAATAACTTTTAAAAATCGAGATAAGAGCATTATGAGGCTATTCATATTGTTATAGTTCCAGTAATAACACCAGACTGTGAATATTCAACGAATGCTGCAAAAACAGTCAAAACCTTCTCCATTAAAGACTTTTTCGTCAAAATAAGACTGCGAAATACCAAAATGAATGTGTTATGCAAGGCGCAGGCTGTGGCTGAGCTGCTTGTTCGGCCCCTCATACACTTTCAGACAAATGTTCTTTGTATTGTTTCCCATTATTTACTCATGGGTTGTTGAGGCTAAGGTAGGTCCACTTTGAAAGCCCAAATCTATTGGCATATGGCAATCAAGATCTTGACGGATCTCTCCATAAAAAGAATTCGATATACATATTTCATCGTGAAATGTCACATTTTTATTTAACTTATCGATCCCAAATAAATCTGAGCTGATTGTATGAATTATTCTTTATTTTGCTAATTCAAGTTTATTTCATTTTTAGTATTTAAAAGACT